GATGGATGGATGGATGGATGGATGGATGGATGGATGGATGGATGGATGGATGGATGGATGGATGGATGGTATTGTTGCTGAAATGGAGAGCTCCTTTAGTGACATACTGCTGCACCCTAAATGCAACAGGGAGCGTTATCACAGATCCTTCCTCCAAGCAGCTGTAATACTTTATAACCATCACTGTTCCCAAAAACCTCAATAAGTTGTTACATTCATGCTGATTTTTGCACAGTTTCTGTTTTAGTCACTTAAATAACATTCTTCTGTCATTTTTCACGTCTCTGGTGTTTCTACTATTTTCACATTTGATTACTGTAAAAATGTCGTTTGCTGATTGAGTAATATTCTTAAGATACACAGTATTTATATTTGTAAAAATACTGTACATTCCAGTATTTTATTTGTTTACTTTTTATATATTTTTTTACTGTCACATATTCTGTCATTTTTATACCCTTTTTAAGGTGTGACCACTCTTGCTGTAATCTTTTGTTGCTGTAACACCACATTTTCCCCATTGTGGGACAATAAAGAGGTTTTCTATCCTTTTCTATTGACAATCTATATCTTATTCTTGTTTTATAGCATAGAAGTTGTTTATAGAAATTATTTAAACATAAAAATGGTGGAGTTTTAAACAGTGTTTTAAGGTGTTAAGAATAAATGTGCAACTAGCTGCTGACTTTCAAGCTGTTCAGAGTTTCAAAGCTCTGGCTGGATCTCATGTTTAACAGTTCAACAAATCCCTACATTCGTTTTTTTTTCTTTTCTAGTGAAAAATAAATACTGGCTGGAATTTTTAGCATTCCTCTTACAAATGGTGTTATTACACTTTTGGCTCGGATTCACGCTTGGTTTCACTGTCTGGGTGTTATTTCTCTAAGGCTTCCACCACATCCGAGTTCATGCACCTGGAGCCACTGAATCCGCCACGGTGAGAAACGACTTCAGCTGCAGGATCTGCCGCTCACAGCTGAAGGAGGACGTCAAGTTCAGAGTTTTAGGAGGTGAGAGGATTTTCCTAACGGGTCCGACCTTTAATGGGTCACTGTGATTTTTTTATACATATTTAATTATTGTTTTTTGTGGAAACAGACAAACAGCTGGTGGAGCTGATCCACGTTGAAGCGCTGAATGCCCTAAGAGGCCATCAGCAGAGTTCATCCAGATATCAATCTGTCACTCTGTTTCTGAGAGGTAAGCTTTTAAATCTTCATCAACCTTTCACATATTACATTATGTTAAAGCCACAAGTATTTCATGTGATTGTCCAACAGAAAGTGCGTAATAGTTTGTTTTGCCTCATCTGACCAAACCACCTCTACAGATTTGCTCAATTCTTTACCAAGCTTATAGCAACATATTTTTTATTTATTTAGGTTACTTACGGTATATTGGCCCAGCTCCAAAACACATGGTGTCTAAAGACACTCTGATTTTTATCTTGGTCTCGGGCGCAGCTCTACTTTAAACTAGAATAGTGGGCAGCATGGCAAAGCAGTTGGTAGCAAAAATGTCTTAGGTTGAAATGCAGGCCTGCATTTTTCTGCACATACTCCTCTGTGTGTGGAAGAGTTTTCTCTGGGTACTCTGGTCTTGCCCCACAGTCCAAATCAGACAGGCTTTTTAGATCAATTGGTTTCTCAATTGATAAGTGTGGGTGTGTGCATAGCTGTTTGTCCTTTAAATCCCTGTGTTACCCTGCCACACACCATCCAATGACAGCTAGAGGTGGTCACTATCCCCCCCTTCTGTCCCTGCATGAAAAAGCAAGTTCTGGATGAAAATTCATTATTTTTTCACACCGTCAGGTCTTTTTCCATCACCTTTAAAATGAAGGTAAATAATTTTTTGTGCAGCTAACTCTGCCCCCTGTCTGGATATTGTTTCTGCTTCTTCTAATAATATTTTCCCAGCAGTACCCATGAGAGCTCCACAAATCCCTGCAGCAGCATTAACATATTCTGTTGACCTAATGATGTGGAGGAACCCAACACAGGCAGTTCCTGTTACTAAACATATATGTTAATGTATGCGGGGTAGACTCATTAGCTAGCAGTGCAGATCGTTTATAGAGAAATCTTTGTTATGAGCACCTCTCTCTGCCCCCCCCCCCAGATGAGCTGTGCCACTCCATGACTATCGGTCGACTCTACAGGGTGGTTGGCATTCCTGCCCTCGTGCATCAGTGGCCAAGCATCACCTGGAGTGTAGAGGCGAATAGCGTCCAACCGTGGGAGCTGTATTGTGAGAAACATAACATTATTAATCCAGTCACACAGAGATAGAGGGATAAATTAGTATAGAGACATACAGATAGAAACCTTCACATATGTTGAGAAGGATAACATGAAACTAGATAAACTTTTCTAAATGTAACTAGATTACTTTTACTAAAGTATCCTTCTGAACAAAATGTACTTTTATCAATAGTTTCATTGTACATTTTGCCAGACAACCAGAGGTGGGTATTGTACCCAACAATTTTATTCTAAGAGTAGCGCTGCTTTAAGATGACAGTTCTCAAGCAAAAGTAGAATCCTCCAAGAATGTATTTGACTGAAATAAAAAATAATAATAAAATACATAATTACATAATAAAACAAATTTTGCAGAAAGAATACATTTTCCAAAGGAATCCATCAGGTTATGTATATATGTCAGGAAATGATTAAAAAAAACCTCAGGGCTTTACTGTATTTTTTCACCTGACCTCCAAATAGCTCAAGTTACTCATAGTGGGCAGAGTAACCAGAAAATTGACTCAAGTAAAAGCAATGATACTCCCACAAGACTTGTTTTATGACTGTATTGTTTTAATTTTATTTTCTATGGATTACACCTGCTCAGCCACGCTGGTTTACACGAACAGATTTCTATTTAACTGTCTGCACACTGTAAAATGTACTTATTTTAGCCATTCTTAGCCACTAAAGCTTTAAGCCTGCAAGTAACAATTATTTTGCTTCTCAGTCATTAATCAGCATTTTTTTCAGTTAATCAAATAATAACTGGAAAGAAGGAGTGGCTCAACAGGACATTTATTTAACAAAACTTGAAAGAAGTGAAGCTAAAAATAGGCTCCTTCAGAACAGATTTGGAGAAAAAAGTAGGTTTTCCATCTTAAATGTAAAATATATATCTTTTCGTACATTTTTTTTTTTTTGCGCCATTACTACTATTAGTGTAAAGTGCCCTGATTTAGAGTCTGTTAAAGTTTTTTTGATTACTGAATTAGTTAGATTTTTTTAATTAATCAATTACCTACCATTAATCGATCGATTCCATCCCTAGGAGTTTGTGCTGTTACAGTATAAAAATAGATAACCCACTGTAAACATTGGATTCAAAAACTACGTTTAAACGTCTTAATTTTTTTTTTTTATCAACAATAGTATGTTCTTAAAAAATCTCCTTTCATTGAATATTTTAATTTCCTTTATTATTTATTTGAATACATTTCTTTTTTTTTTTTTTTTTACCGTTTTTTTAGAATAAGCACATCAATTTTTTATTTCTGTTAGTCTGATTAAACAATTAAAACAAATTTAATCAGGTGTTACGATCAATAAGTATTTGAGTAGCCTTTTGATATGATGCTTTTTTTTACTAGATTTTTTTTACTTGAGTAAAAATATGCTAAAGCGATGTTACTCTTACTTAAGTAGAGTTTTTGACTCCGCTACCCATCTCCGGTTAGGGCGTGGCTCCTGCTGAGATCTTTAATGTGCAGTGTTACTCTACTACTTTTGTGTTTTTGATCTCATCTGACTAATGTTCCTACTACTAGAGATGCTTGGTGGGTATAAATACTGTAAAGCAGTGTTTCTCTATTAGGCATTTATCATGTTCCCCAGCTCTGCCCACAGGCTGCCCTAAAGCCTCCCCCAGATTCCTGCAGCTGCCACATTGCATGACCTCTGCTCCCTGGAGGTTCCCTGCTATCTTAGCTCACTGCTTTGGGTCAGACCTGACTCCTCCCGGCCTGCACAACACACTCAAACTGTGTCTGCTGCTGAGCTTGGTGCAGACTAGAATGGATGAAAACGATGCGTTTCACAATTTGGATCTCCTCGTGGTCACAGCTGATACCCTCGTATTAGACAGGTGAAGAACTCCTGATCAATAATCTATTTTGAGTCGACTATAGTTGAATCAGCTACATGAAAAGCTTGACTCTGATGGGCATCCACTTTGTGCTAGGCTAATGACGTACAGTTTGAGTTTGGCATGTCGCGGGGTCAGACACCAGCCCTCTGGGGAGATGTTTTCCTGGCTGTCCAGAGATGAACACGGAGCAGGCACCGCCAACATCCATGCTGGTTCTGCATTACTCGCCTCGGGGGGCATTTGCCTGCTGGGAGATCTTGCCTGTTACAAGAAGGACAAACTGGACTGCTTACAGTGTGGTATTGTTGGTTTGGACTTGCATTTTTTCTGTCAGATGTAAAATTTTGGATTTTCTATCTGTTTTCATTGTTTTTAATGATGGTTTAGGGGTGCATGTTTTTATTTTGCCAGTTCTGGAGAGCCGATCTGTGTCTGTGTTCATCCCTGGAAAGAAGTACGGTGAGGAAGCTGACCAGCAGCTTTCATTTCCGGTACAGTGCAGTTTCTGGGCCCTTGCAGACTCCTCTCAGAGGTCTGGGAAGACGGACTCAACTACATTGGGAGCTGCTGTGAGTGTTTTCACAACCCAACGTTGTAAAGGCATCAGGAAACAAGATGTCTGCGGGGAACTGGATTTCTTTGGTGTACTTTGGGTTTTACTCAACTCAGAGGTTCTTTTTATGACATGAAGGAAAAAAAAGAAACAAGATATTTAAATAAAGATTAGGAGCACAACATTTCTGCACAATTCTCTTAAGTCTTTAGAAATATGGAAATTGCATTTATAATTTTCCATGTGTAGGTATGGAACATTTTTTTTGTAAAGTTGTTTTTCCATAAACTAGATTCCTTTGATAGTTGCATTTTTGAATTAAATTTCCAACAAAAGGTCTTGAGTTTAGCATTCTAGCCCCTGACTTTTTGTTTTTATGTTACTAGCTGGAAACTCATTGATGAAAGGCCCATTTCGCTGCTGTTCTCTGTCTTTAAGTAACTATATGTTAGGGCTTTTATCCACATTTGTGATTCTTATCTTCGGTTTTGCATGAATTGCAAAGAAAATGCTATTATTCTATGTTTTTTTCAAACAGAATAATAGCATCAGCATCAGCTACCTAATTTATAGAATATTTTTTTTATTGGCGGTCTAAGTAATTAGATTTTAGATTCTTAAATTGTTCTAATCCTAATGAATTCAGACGCTAAATAAGCAGCGAATATCACTAAGCCTATAAACCATCTTGTTACACAGTTTGACTGTTCAACTACATTTTTACAATATTTCTTTATCAAAGCAATCTGAAACGTCTCTAAATATCACTAAATTGGAGTCTAAGGAAATCAGAATTTTTAAAACTAGAAATTAAATGAGGTCTATTGAAAAAGAAAATCCGATTTTGAACGTGTGAGAAAGTTTAGCTTTAAGTCCAAATGTAATTTCTACATTTATGGATTGACTGCTGGTGATAATTTTTTACTTAAAAACAGCACTGTATACACTGAGTTTGTTGTTATTTTCTCTGTGAGCAGGAAATAGGTCCTGTGCAGGCGCAGCTGGCAGAAAGCTTTGGTTTAGTCATTCAGTGCGGAGACAGGGTGGGAGAGGAGGGCGTACTGGCCCAGACTCTCCACACCCTCCAGCAAGCTGTACAACCTGGAAGACTCACCCATCCATCTTACTGGGACTTTTCTAATGAAGATTTCCAGGAGGTTAAGTTCTTGTAGCAAGTTCTATGCATTGATTTAATATTCATTATATTTTATTTGAAAAGCATTAAGGTTTTTTTGTGTGTGTTATTTATAGTTGGTGGCTCGTTCTCGGGGTTTAAAAGTGGAACTCAGCCCTGAAGCGGTGAAATTGATCCATGGTTACTACATGGCCAGCCGTCGAGCTCGGACACAGAGTCAGGAGGTCAAGATTTCTTTGGCCTCGATCAAACTGCTGTAAGCAGCCTCCTGCAAAACACCAATTGTTATTATCTCCATCTCACATTTTTCCTTCCAAGTAGTAATGCTCTGCAGTGTAATTTCACTAACAACCACTAGATGGCATGCAAACTCAAACATTTTTCTGTCATAATTTTTCACTGAAATATGACAATTGTTTACAAATCCCTTCCAATGTGGTGACACTTTAATGTAGAGCTAACAGCTATGAAAATAAATCTGTTTTCAGTAAGTAGGAAGGAGAAGGAGGCCACATTATGCTCCTAATCTAATCTTAACAGCCTCCAGCAGCGTATATCCAGGCATTCAAATCTTAAATGATAGATTTTTTTATCCACTTACAGTTTTCCTAACGTCACCAAGCATCCATGCTCTCATTTGGATTGTCTATAACTCTCTGGTCACAGGATGTCATTGGCTGAGGCCCACTGCAAGTTATGCCTCAGGACTAAAGTACTGGAGGAGGATGCAGTGATTGCTGTGCTCCTGTGTGAAAACTCTGTCACTCTCAAGCATGGTAGTGATGTTTTTTTTTTTTCATATTATCATCATCTAGGTGTGAATTATACTATTACTATAATATATATATATATTTTATTACAGTTGTTGGTAGGGACAGATTAAATGCACACACTGTATATTTCTGCTCACTTTACTGTTGACTATTGATCTCACAGTGGAGAAATGTATTTGTTACATCAGCTCAAATAGTCAAAAAAGAAAAAGGTGCATGGAATATATACAGTGCATCCACATATGACCTCTTTTTCCCCCCTGACTTATAGCTAATGAAAACCCAAAATAAAATATAAAAGATCAAGATTTACAAAAAAAAAGACACGCTTGACTATTGTGCTGTACTGTACAGTAAAGTGATGGCTCTTTTTAACCGTGGCGTGGAGGCCATCATGCTGCGACTCTGCCGTGATGTTTTAATTGCATCTTGCAGCTTCTGCACATCTTTGCATCCAGAGTCTCATTTAACTTTAATCCATAGATGTCAGTGGTTTAGGACAAGAGGGTTTGCTGCCAATACCAAAACCATACCGGTTGATGGTAGTATTAAAAATGTCGGCAGGTGCCAAGTCCATCCAAGGATCCTTCCGTCATCTACACCATTTATTTCTCTGCAGGGGATCTCTGGTGTTTTTCACCAGCAGTTATTTTGCTTCTCCCACGTCTATGTTGACCAACACCAGCAAATGTGCCTCCCTGTTACAAAACCTTAACCTGGGACCTTGATGTCCAAATACAATACTAATACTTACAACCTGAAAAAGGACATTTAACCCCCTAACAATGTCCTTTTTTATCTTGGCAAAGACACTGTTGTAATGTCTCTGGTCTTAGGAGTAACTGGAAGTAAAGGTGGTAACCAAATGTTAATTTCTTTGCAATATAAATTTATATTTTGATTAAGCAATAGAACATGCTTTATGCTCTGAGGTCTTAATAATCCTCCTGATGATTTATTGGTCATTCATCTACAGAAATGAACTGAACAAAATTTACTTTTGGTTCAAAACTGCAAGACAAAACCTAAACTCCAAGTGAAGACCTACTAGTGTTCCATGTCTCAAAATCACTCAATTTTTTGACAAAGGCTTTATCTACACTAGTAATAGTTATGGTTTATTCCCCTACCAGTTTAATCACAACTTAATGCAACCCATTTTTTTATTTCACCAAACAGAATATATTTTATATACCTTTGTACTTTTCCCCAACATTTGATATTTAAAATCTAAATTCTGCCAAGTTTTACATTTCCAGAAAGAGACCATTTGGTAGCACGTTACCAGCTTTAGAAAACCTGCGATTTGTTCAACCTTTTCAGATTGTCAAATACTTGCCTTATAAGTGTAATTAAATATTTTATAATCACTCCTTTCCATCATGCAGTTAAGACTTTCCGGGGAAATAATGTAACCTGATATAAAGCAGATATTTCTAATTGTGAGGCACCGTTTATAAGCTTCAAGTGAGATTTGTTCATTTAAATATACATTTCAAAGGTTTTTATAAAGCACATCTATTTCTAATTAGTTAAACCAGTATAACAGTTTGAATGATTTATGTTGATAAATTTAGGAAAGGCTTTTGTGATAGAAATAAAAATTGGTGCCAAAGCTTTTAAGGCCATAGAAATGAACAGAGCTAAAACATGAAATTGATATTTATACCCATTAACTTTATTCTGTTAATTCACACCATGATTATGATTGATGCTATTTGTTAGCCTGCAACTAGTTTATTCTGTATACAGCAAATTTAAATATGGTTAGATCCAGTCTTTCTCCTGATCCGATGTCTCCTTCCAGGCGGCTCTGCCCTCATTATTCCACCGGACGCAGTCTTTCCTTGCGACTTGGGGAATGTGGAGGGTCTACAAAGGAGGGACGCAGTCCTGGATGAGCTCCACCAGGATATCCTACGCTTTGTCTACACATTTGCACCAGGAGCTGATGAGTACATTACTGAGGAGTAACGCCTCTCATTATAAATCCCAAGGTAAGAAAAATAACCAAAAGGAATCAAAAGTCTCAGATTGCAGCAGTTGATGTTAAACATTTTATTGGATACAACAACAACAAAGGTGTGGGCTTAAAAGGCAAAAGGAAGAAATACTAACTTTTAAAATACAACAAAACAAGAATAAACAGGCTATACAGAATGGCTAAATGAGAATCACTTAAAAAATATTCTCTTTATATACATTTTCAGTCAAACATCCATAGTTTATATAATTCACATACCTCCTTAAGGATGGGCACAAACTCAACTGGTTGCAAAGCTCTGCAGAAATAAAAATAGTCATAATCAGTCAAACATCTATTGACAAAATATATAATGCATGTATTAAGTTGTGGTTCAGTTTGTCACATTTTCAACAACCCTTTTTGGTCTGATGGGTAAACGGCGAAAAGTGGAACTCATCATTACAACTCCAAATATTAATCTGACTGAAAAGTACAATATAGTAATTACTTACCATCAGAGATTTACTAAAATGATGCGACCAATCACCTGCAGAAATCAGAGCATTTCACAAGAATTAGGAGAAAAGCAAAGCAAAAGAAAAAATTAGGCTTTATCTTTTATTTTCCCCAAATAACCAAAACATTGAAGGAAAACCACAAGAGAAACCGCAGCTGGAAATTCAGTCGACACCATCTCACCACTTTAATGTCTGATGGGTAAACGGCGAAAAGGTGAATTCATCACTACTCCAGCTTTGACTAATGATACTGCTTTTAATCTGTAACTTGTTCAAAAAAAATAAATAAAATAATATTTTTTTGTGGCTTTTTTCCTACTTTGGGGAAGCAACCCTCAGCATTTCTAAAGATCCCTGCTAATTTAATATGGTCACAACAATTTGGCTGCTCTGATCTATCTGATTTTTGACATTGTGTAAAAAACAAAAGAAATGAAGCTAGAAGACTACTCACCTTGTACTGGAAGCAAACAAGGCTTCCACCTCTGATGATCTGGTCAGCCATAAGAAATCTAAATTATTGGGCATAAATAGGATGAATTAAATTAAAACTAAAACTACATATCCCATTACTAGCCATAAATGAATTTTTATCATGCTGGCATATCAGTTTGTCACATTATCACCATTTTGTTGTCTGATGGGTAAACGGCAAAAAGTGAACTCATCACTACTGCAGCAATAGCAGAATAGAGAAATGTTATAAACTCACCATAGAGATCCACAGGGTCCAGACTGGCAGACAGGGTCTAAGATAAGGACACCAAAAGGAAAAGGTAAGTGCTCCAAGTTTCCAAGTCCACAGAACTAATCCCCATGGTACATCCTGTGCTTGGAAGGTTGAAATATACTGAATGAGCTGCCAATATAATGTGAAGATATGACTGATCACCTAAAGGTCAAAGGGTAAGGCCTAACACAGCTTGGCAGCACAGCTAACAGGGCTAATCTTAAGGACAGGTTCAACAGCAGGTCACAACCTTTAAAATGACCTTCCCTACTCTGAGAGGACTTTCTGGACAATGGGTCTCTGCTCACAATTAAATATGGACAACAAGGGATGCTTTTCCTCCTTCCAAGAGTCAAAAAGATGATTTATCGCTGTCCTTCGGGAAAAGTCAATTTTTTCCACAAAACGCTGAATAACTGGGGTGTACACGTTACAGTCCCGATTCTACGGAAGAGGATAAGGGCCACTGAAAAACTTAAGTTAACAGATTTTTAAATATTTCAGTTTCAGACTAGCTCTCTTGTTTTAATCACCTTCTGCTCCTCCATTAATGAAATAGCATCACCAGGGATCCTTCAGACATATAACAAGTCGCCTAATTACGTGATTTTCCCATAATGTGTTACTGACCCTCTCAAACAACTCACATCTTCGTCAGTGAAGCTGAGTGCTGCCACATCCCTTCCTTCATGGTGCCCATCTACATTAAGATCCAAAATTCTGAAATTAAAGTTAGAATTCTGAGGGGAAAAGTCAGAATTCATATTATACTGAAATAAAATTTAAAAATCAGTTAACTTTTTTAATTTTTCAGTGCCCCTAACCTCCTTCCGTAGCTTCACACTTAAAACATTATCACGACTTTATATCAAATCACAATTTGATCAAACAGAACCTCATCGACATTCTCTGAAATTAGTGTATGAATCAAACCCAATAATTCAAATTATCAGTGTAATACCTTTAAGTTTAGTTTATCACCAATAAAAAGCCTATTTTTAGATGTATAAGTGTAACATTCAAAGGAAAAACGCATGCTATGCTCGGTTCGCCACGTGGCCGGGATGCCGTCTATGCTAACAGCGTGCTTAAGAGCTAACTGCCGGTGGAAAAAAAAACAAAACAAACAAAAACAAGATCGATTACAACATTTCAAACAAATAAAGACATTTTGTAGATAAAACTCACATCTGCTCACATAGAACAGAGCAGTATAGGTAGAGATGGGCATCGATGCAGTGGTGGGACTCCTCTGGTTTAATGCCCGGCCGGCGGTGAATGAGACAGCTTCCGGTTCCTGCGCGTCAGAGCTGCGCATTGCGCCGATATAAGACGGATCACCGCTAAGCAAATAAATGATAGGAACATTTCCAATCTACAGCTGCAGTTTTAATATTAAGCAGGAACCCTGTTTTATATTTTAACAATAAACAAAATAAAAACTGGTGAAGGAGGCTGTTTGCATCACTTATTCAGATTGTTTCAGTGCGCAAAAAAGAATTTAACATATCAGTAAAATATAAAACAAAGAACAATCTGGTATCATGATCGATCATTGCGTCAATATTGTTGAATCATTAATAAAAAAAATAAAAATAAAACATTTGTTACAGCTATCTCCAACGCTCTGGTTCATTAACGTTTAAAATTACATCACAGCTAAATCTAAGCCTCTAAATATATTAAATATCACCATAAATAAATATGCTAAATGTATTTATTCATTCCTTTTTTTTCTTTTCTTTTCTTGGGGCCCTCCAAGTGTTATTCCAGTTAGGTCTACTGGATAAATCAGATTTAATTTACATTTACTTGTCATTGTAATGCAATATTTCAAAACCTTACCAAACATATTTGCAAATATTGTTTCTTATATATTTGATTATATTAAACAAAAGGAATCCTATATTAGACTGAATGCAATAGCCCGCTATAAAACCAGTAGGCGATTATAAAAAAAAACAATGTCCAAATTTTAAAAGTAACAAGCTATGCTTTTCTAAAAATCTTTAGACTCTCCTTGCATTCTCTTCTAATTTATTCACACACACACAAATACATTTACAACCATGCATGTAAAAAAGAAAAAGAAAAGAAGAAACATGAGATAGAGAGCCTCTTTTGTCGGACCCTCTGACAGACCACTTCACATGACGGATTCTAAGTTATTCACACATGCATTTAGTGCAAATGTCTCAAGTCAAAGTGCACGCTCAAGCATGACGGACTCCACGGAATTTCTGCAGAGATCAGACTTTGGGACGTGCGTGGAACTGCGTGGCGCATTCATCAACTAAATGACAACAAAATACATGCTTTGTTTTCAAAATATATATATACAATTAAAGTCACGTAATATATTAATTTACATCATTTTAGAGCTGCAGTGGAAAGACAATCAGATTTTTTTTTTTGGAAGCTCATGCAAACGTCCCATCGCTGAGGCCTATTGAGAGGAGGAAGATGGGCCCTGGTTCTCTGAATCAGAAGGATTGTTCAGGAACTGTCCAGTTGCTCCCACGTATAATCTGGATCGCATTGGCCATTTCTGTAAAAACACATTTTAAATTAATTATATTAAGTTGCAGTTTAAAAATCAAATAAAGATTAGAGACATGTGGCTGCTTAATGAGGATGATGCTGACCTTCACAGGGTGCAGGTATCCTTCACCTTTCAGTGAGTGTAACGCCTCTGTTTGTTTGCTCTCTCCTTCTTCTGCTCCTTCCTCCTGCAGTGTTCGAGTCAAATGGGCAATATAGGTGGTGGCTAGTATCAACACGTCCAGTTTGGACAGCTTGGTATCCGGCGGTACTGACGGTAAAGTCCTCTGGAGCTCCAAGAAGGCGTTCCTCAGGGTCTGCACCCGGCTGCGCTCCCGCGCTGCGTTAGCGGCCGCCGGCCGCCCTCTGCCGCCCAGTGCGCCGCCGCTCTGGAGCGCCCTGGCCCGGTGGAGCTCACCGCGACGACGGCCGTCAGGACTGGGACTGGAGCTGGGGCTGGAAACCGGGCTGTCATCCACATCCACCACCGAACTGGAGCAATTACCGCCGTCCATTTGGAGCGCCTGACTCCCCACCATGCGTTACTAATCTGTATAGTCAAAAATCAGATGTGTTTTTTTTTTTTTACTGACGCCAGCTCATTGTATTTATTTATTAATGAAACTGTTAACTTTGGACTCTACAGTAATTCCACTTTAAATGTATTTAACGTTGTTAAAGTAAATTAAAATAAAAACTTTTAAAAAAATCGAATTATGCATCCAAATATGATTTGAACACTCGGATGCACACCTGGAGTTTTTTTTTTTTAATAATCATGCTTTTAGTGCATAACTACAAATGAATTTTACCTGTTGTATTTATAGCTCTGGGTTGTTATCCGTCATGAATCCTTTCCAAAATAACCCTCTGATCTTCAGATTGCGCAGTCCCAGTTTAAGCTGTCCAGATGCGCCCATCCAGCTCCTCACCTGTGCGTAAAAGTCTCCGGAGTCTATTGGAAGCACGCGGCACAACTTCTCTCCGACATAAATAATCAGTCGGCCCACATCCTCCCACAGATCTGAGGAGCAGCTCTTCGCTGAACTTCACCGCCAGAGGCAGGGCTCTCTACTTTTTAACTCGGAGGGCCCTCTAACCCTCTCCAATTGGCTGCGAACTTGACGCTGCTGTATATTTTCTGCAGGGGGGAGCCTATCAAAAAAGATTACATTTAGACACCCCCTCCCAAAAAAACCCTCATCTTATGCACCTAGACTGCTGTTTGCAGGAGTTGCAAGAAAACAAACAGAACAACTGTAAGACGATATGAAAAGAAAACATTTTTTGACATATTGCCAGGCTGTGCTGAGTTGCAAGCTCATTGGATCGACTAATAAATAAAGTCCGGCTCTGCAATCAACAGGCGGGCCTTTAGGAAATTCTTCCCAGACCCATAAATTAATCACTCTGATTTCCAGGGCTCCAAACGGAGATGTCTGCGAATTAATGAAAGGAATTATTCATATTATGTATATTCTCAGACTGGCCTCCATAAACATTGTTTTTATAGGGATGGTGTAACAGTGCTGCTCCAGGCAACTAATTATGAGGCAGACTTTTAAAAGGTTAAGTAAGCTTGTTCCCCTAATTACCCGCTTCTTACAGGGGTTACCCGGCCACGTGGCTCCTAAAGCCTTATTCAGATGACAATAAATACCAGCTTATTGTTTCAGATCATTTATCAGAGCTGTTTGAGTAGAAGCATGAGTTGTTAGCTTAGGGCTTGTAATAATAAGGCAGGCGGATCATTTAGATTGTGCCATTTTGCATCTTATGGTTCACTCATTTAACAAAAACACATTTCTAAAAAAAAAAAAAAAAATCACAATACAATGAAAAGCATAAGTTGTGCAAATGATTTATTTCTACAGAAATTTCTAATCCAATCAGAAATAGAGGCTACGAGAAGAAGAGGTCCTTTTTTTCTTTGTTCGCTTTTAAAATGTAAATTATTAGAAGATGTGGTGTTAAATAAATATGATCAGTTTTACAGAATAATTCACTTATGGTGTTTCAGGACCTCAGATGGGTGATGAGTCAGCTACATGACTGAACCCTGTGAATAGAAAAAAAAAATTGAAAAGATGTTTAATTGCTCTAAAAATATTTTTCTTCAAATAGAAATGAAAAGCATTTTATTTTAATATTAAAAGAAAACAAATTTCTATAGAAGAAGGTGCAATAATATAATAATAAAAAAAAATAAAAAAAATCAGTGTTTCAGTTAGGTCAAACCAGTTCTACCTAATATAATTCTGAATGTACCACATGAATAATAATAATTAATACCTTAAGAAAACAGAGTTAAACGCTGAGTTTGATGAATCTGTATACCGGAGCAAAGAGGCTGCTGTGGCTGCCAGCCCGGCGCATTAGCAGGCCGGTAGAGATGACCAGGATGTGTACCCTGACCCACATTAGTGTGATCTGCAACATATACAAAGTCACATACACAGGAGAAACTCTGCGTGTTGAAACACATGTGTGTGTGTGGGGCGGGGGATGAGGGGTGGGGGGGTCTAACATAAAGCTTACACATCACTTTTTTCCGGTTTCTATACTATATTATAGTAAAAGTCATCAATATCAGCATTGGGCTTTTTTGTTGCCACACTGAGGATTGTGGGAAAATAAACTGGAAGATATATTATAAATAAAAAAATATGATCAGTAATAAGTGATTTAATAGGATAAAAGATTTAATTACCTGCCACTCTGGTCCGAGCCAACATCTGATTATTGGTTCTTCTCCTGTTGGCTTCTTTTGATGCTTTCCAGTTAATAAGGAACTGCCTGGTTAGCTCATTAATGTCTCTACCGTCAAGGGTCTCTATAGAAACAAATGAGTCATTTATAAGAAAAATAAACTTGATCTTTTTTACGGTGTTTCTATATTTTTTATGCATGGACAACTAGTTTTAGACATTTAATTTTGTATTCTTGTTCTTTGGAAGGGAAAGTAAAAACACCTACCAAGACTTTTGCACACGGTTATAAGGCGATCTCTGTACTTTTGTTTTTTGCACACAGGATTTCCAGTTAAATCCAGTGTGAGCAGCTGAGGCCACAGCTCCAGCACAGCCTCCAGCTCCTGCAAATGGAGAGAAAACATCAAAACCAACATGTTCTGTTTTAATTGCTGCTGATTCAAACACCCGCATCAATGTCTCTACTGAGATAAAAACATTTAAATTTGGTTGTGAACAAAATGCATGCCTGCAATGTGATAGAAAATCATAGGTGAGCCTCAAAGAAGTGGTATAAATGAAGGTTAATGTGGGGTACAAGCCGATAGGAAAAGGCATAAACAACACATCAGTCTGTTTTAATAAACAGTGTCGCCGGTGTCATGTAACTCTTAAGTTTTCTCCTGAGGGCGTTATGAGGCTGGCTCCTCCAGCGACTTGCCTGCAGTTGTATGTTTATCTAAAGGCACATTAATCCAAGCCTGGAAATATGAATACTCTCTGGACACGCTCTGATTGTTCATTGCCTTCCTGTCTTGGCCAAAGCGCTTCCACTTTTCCAACCTGAGCTGCAATCAGTTCAGAGGAGACCCCTTGAGCACCACGCGCTCCCAGGCTTTGATAAATGATCATGTCAGGGCCGTCACTCAGAAGGCCCTCACTGAAGAGGAGCCCAGCGCCAAATTGCCCCCCAACGCGGGGGCGTGTGGAGCAGCACAGTCTGGAGACTCACTAAGCTTGGCTGGCTCTCCTGACTGAACTAATGATCGTCCAGTTATGAACCTGTGTTTGACCAGTGCTTCGATTCCTCTGTCCTCTCTGCCCCTGCTCCCAGCTAACAGCCTCTGAAGATGCTCCCCATTTGTCACCCTGGCTGACTGACTGTCATAATCTATTTTAAAAATCTATAACGTTTCCTCAGGATTTTCACCAAATGCGGCAGAAAAATAAATTGATCCTTTAGAGAGCTGTCGCTGACAATCAATAGTGGCAGACGGGTTGTATAAATTATAGGAGATATCTGCTGGGAGTGACACTTATACAACAATTAAGCACATCAACGGGGAAAAAAAAGACACTTATCTGCATTAGGAAATAATCAAGTTCTAAAGTAGTGTCTGAATATGGAGTTTTAGAACTTTGAACTCCTTTGTTTTTGCTAAACCAATTCAAGACATTTACAAGTTAGTAATATCTTCATTAGTCGGTTTTCTGTGAGTTCACAATATCAAACTCAGGAGGGTGGTGAAGGGAGAAAAAAAAACAGCCCCTCAAGGAAGGAGAGAAACTTGTGCTTGTTAAAAGCTGTCAGAGAGAAATGTCCCTGGGGAGCAGCTTGCTGATTTGCTGCATAATTTGGATCCTTTCGAGTCGTGCAGACTGGGAACCTCTGGGTAGGAATTCTGCGGGATTTGGTTCCCTACAACCCCTGCTCTCCATATCATTTCACACACGGCTGCAGAAAGCTGCAGAGCAATAACAGAGCTAACCTCATCAGCTAATGAATGGCATGTTCATTTTAATACATCATGTTTGGATGTTTCCTACATTGCCGCACTCCATACTTACATGTCCTCTCTTATCAAAACAACTTTGTATATTTTTAACCCTTTATAGGGCACTCAGTGAAAGACTTTTAAATATCTAAATTAAGTAATTTTCTCTTAAAATAAGTGCTTTTTTTAATTGAGAAACTGAGACACTTTGCAAATTGAATAAGAACATTTATATTTAGAATAAGGGAAAAGTTGCAAGTGTATCAAATAATCTGATTTTAAGTATAAAAATGCTCCTTCCACTGGGAGATTTTCTTATTTACCTACTCAGATTAAGGGTAAATGCACTTATTTTAAGACATTTTAGTGTTAGGGTTATTGTGTGTGTTATTGGAATCCAGGACACAACCTTATTATCTTTGTAACATTAAAAAATATGGATATTTTGAGGGCAACAATTAATGTCAATGTAATAACAAGAAATGCCAACTTGCCTGAATTTATTAAGAAAAATAACAAAAGTGCTTCTATAAAAAATTTATGAAAAGTGAAAGAAACAAATATTTTTAGGTACAACATAACCTTAGAGGCTTATTAACACTTTAGCTTTACTTTCTAACTTTTCAAGTAGCTTTTTACTTAATTTACAGTTGGTAATATATCATTCAAGGGCTCATCTAATTGGTCAAATGCAAAAATAAAATGTACAGCCATGTAGCAGTATCTTTGCTGAATGGCTGGATATAGATCTTGTGCTTCTAGACCTCACTGAGGGACAGGGAGGGCTCCATTTCTAAGGGGTATGCAAGTGATCAAAAACGGTAAAATGCCTTAAGGGTTAAAGGTCACTGACAAAGTATTTACACCCCTTGAATTTTTTTTTTTTTACACTTTACGACCATTATTGTGACCAAACAATATGTGACAGTACAACAAAAAGTTGTGTTTAATCGGTGGCATGCGTTCGTGTTCAGCCCGATTACCCTGAAATAAAATTCAGCGCAATAATCTCTCAACAGAAGAAAAGAAAGTCTGCTGTTATAAAAGATTACTGAAGAAACAGCATCATGATGAGCAAGGAGTTATGGAGAAGACGTGTAATTTTCTGTATGTATAAAGAAAGTATCGGTGCTAATACAACTTGCTGGAATGGTCTAGTTAAATCTAATTTAAAAGCTTAGGGTAGACTTATACACTAATGTTTGCAGATGCTCTTCACCTAATCTGTTGGACCTGGAGCTAATAAGAAAAAATGATTGAGCAAGCGTTTCAATAAACAACTTTAAAGCAGCAAAATATGGTTATAGTAATAGCGTTGTCCCTCGGGGGGCTGAATACATATGTTTGCCACAAAAAAAAAATCTAAAGAAACCATTATTTTATTTAATCTTCATCCGTTTCTTTTTGCTACTATTGGTCTATCACATAGAGGTTTTTCCCCTCCTCTGTCGCTGAGTGCTCAGTGTGATGACATTGCATAGGATTGACTGGATGCAATCAACTGGGTTTCATCAGGTAGAAAACTTGTAATAAATTCTTCTGATTTGATTGCAATGTCTCTCTGAAGTGTTTTGAAATTAAATGTGTTGCAAATTGCCGGATTGCTATTTCATTGCTGAAGATAACAGAGTTAGATAAAATTAATTCTCTAATAGTCAAAAACTTACCGTGATGTTAAGCAGTTTGTTCTTAGCAGCAGAAAAATGTTGGAGTTCCTTCAGCACCGACAGCTCTC